GAGAGAGAGAGAGAGAGAGAGAGAGAGAGAGAGAGAGAGAGAGAGAGAGAGAGAGAGAGCGGGTACATCCTTGCAGCAATAGGGAAAAACAAACCAGGAAAAAAGATTACAGGCAATTTACTGATCCTGTGAGAAGTGAAAAGAATGCTAAAGGATCACAGGTAGCGAGACAAGCTGGACAGCATACAAGTGGAATAAAACACAGAGAGGTAATTGCCTCTCTTGTACTGATCCTGGAACACGGAAGAATTCACCTTTATTTTGATCACAAGTAGAAGTAGACCGACTTTCCTCACATCATCCCGAAATAACTGCAGACACGTTATTCCCCCCGAAAAAAAATAAAAATAAAAAAATCTGCCGATACCTTATCTACTCCTAAGCTCATAATACCTGATTTCATCAGAAAACGACAAAAATACTTCACTCACGATTGGAAGGCTGGGATGTGATTCTAACCAAACAATGCTACCTACCTACTTTTGTCTCTTCCCCCCTTCCCCCACGTTCCCCCCCCTCCTCCTCCCCCTTTTCTCCCCCGCCCTTTCTCTCTCCCCCGCCTCCTGATCCAGCCTCTTCTCCACCAGCAATTGAGAATAAGGTTCAATAAGCCGCCTAAATTAGTACTAATATATTCGGTCGACTTCTCATCTGGAGGACTGGAACTGATTTTTTTACAATTGTTTATTTATTATAATTACATTAATAAAGAAAATCGTTGAAAAAAGATACACTTGAAATCCTCAGTAATGAAAATCCCATGGTTTGGGGACACGGCTTCCCCAAAAGGAAATCTCCGAGCGGATTGAAATTTTCCTCCTAGAATGGAAACCAGAGCCTACGGAACTTTCCTTTATTACCCTCCGTCGATTATTATTACTACATATTTGTTATTGAGTTAATTAACTTAATTATTATACTTGCCTACACCCGTATAATTTCACTCCAATCAATAGAAAAAAAAATTGTGAAGAGTCGTCCACCTACGTGCAATTACATTCACAACAGACCAGGGAAAGAATTAAACCACCAGTACCTGGCCCAGCTATCGGCCGCGGCGCTTCCCGTATACGCGCCGCGCCATTTGGGCTTCGGCCTGCCGGACCGCATTGGCTGGAGGCCGCAGGCAAAACGACAAAGAAAATTGCTACGGCGGTTTGGCAGGACTTGGCGCGCAGCGTGCTGGGAGGCTCGGATTCAATAGCTGAGCGAGGTACTGGTGGTTTAACGACAAATCTGCAAACTCTCAGGCCGCATCTACGAGCCCTCTCCGTCTACATTCACGCTGGAAGTGGAGCACCTTTCTTTTCTTGTAGAGCAACGAAGCAGTTCGAATGGAAACGCTGAAGCAGTACGAATGGAAACACTAAAGCACTACGAGTGGAAACACTGAAGCAGTATGAGTGAAGCAGTACGAGTGGAAACACTAAAGCAGTACGAGTGGAAACACTAAAGCACTACGAGTGGAAACACTAAAGCAGTATGAGTGAAGCAGTAAGAGTGGAAACACTAAAGCAGTACGAGTGGAGACACTAAAGCAGTACGAGTGGAAATACTGAAGCAGTACGAGTGGAAACGCTGAAGCAGTACGAGTGGAAACGCTGAAGCAGTAGGAGTGGGAACGCTGAAGCAGAACTGGAAACGCTGAAGCAGTAGGAGTGGAAACACTGACTACTTATGCACGGTGCTACTTTATTTGCGGATCATTCCACTTTATTTGCAGATCATCATCATCATCGTCATCATCATCATCGTCATCATCATCATCATCATCATCATCGTCATCGTCATGACCATCATCATCGCCATCATCATTCAGTAATCCACCAGAGAGCCAGCCTCGGTCAAAGAGTACCTCCTCCCTCCAAGCAAGGAGGGGTAAAATCCTCGCGCTCACTGCGCCAATGGGACATTGGTAACGAAGAATTATTGAATACCTTTGAACACAGGATTTGTCCTGCAGATGCTGGGGCCGTGCTCCTCGTACTCTGCCTTAGTGTGACAGGCCTGGGAAAAAAAGACAAAGTTGTGAGGTAGTAATAGACAGAAGACGGAGGGGGGGGGGGGGGGGGGGGGGGGGGGGGGGGGGGGTGGGTTGGAGAAGGGAAGAAGGGAAAGTCATAGCAGAAAACAGAAGCACAATGGCGAAAGACAAGGACAGATACAGACGAACAAAATCAGGAAGCGGTTCAACAGCCGACAAAATGAGGAAAAGGTGAGACAAAAGGGCCTTGCTCCAGTACACAACAATCTAAACGTATCTGGATCTGACAGTTGCTGTCCTGATGCATTCAAAATATAGGGTCAGTCTGAATGTATTGGGATCCCAATTCAGTCCAAAATTCCAAATGCACTTAAAACGATGCATAGTGGGGCAAGGCCGGTTATGGTGCGCCGTGCGTAAGAGGACACACGAAGTGCTGCACCCTCGTCGACATATTCTCTGGGCGTTGGTCACGACTCTCTCTGGCCAGCCGAAAGAAACCAGTTTTCTGGTGACCAACCTTCAACGTGCTGAGAGAGAGAGAGAGAGAGAGAGAGAGAGAGAGAGAGAGAGAGAGAGAGAGAGAGAGAGAGAGAGAGAGAGAGAGAGATGAGGGTGAAAAGTCACCAAATTGGGAAACTCGTTTTCTCGGCCCCCTCCCTGGGATCACCGAGCTCCAGTGCATCAGGGGCAAGGTCCCACTAAAGAGGATTGGATTTAATGCCTGAATTTGGACGTGTTTGTGGAGAGGTGCAGAACATTGCAATTGATCTGCTTTTCTGAATCTCTGCTTAAAAACCGTCCAGATTCAGGTGCTTAATCCAATCCTCTTTGTTAGTGGGTCCTTGCTCCAGGTGCTTGTTGGTTGATACCGACTGCGGTTCTCAAAACACTTTGAATTGAATGACGTTATAGCTGCTCGTTGGTCTGGGACAAAAAAAAAAAAGAAAAAAAAAAAGAGGTGCTTGTTGGTTCGTGGTACTTCAGAATTGATTCAGAGCCAGGACCATAAGGATCGGTCTCAAAGTTTTATTTTAAAAAACTTTAAAAAAGGTAAAAAAAAACAGAAAAAAGAAAAGAGAGAAAAAAAGTGCACCTTGATTTGTAGTACTTCCACATTGGCTACCATTTGTATTGCTTTCTGCTTAAGTCCATCCATAGGCTCCACGCTCAGGGCATAGCAATGATAGCACACAAACAAGGACCTACCCGGATGAATTGGACTGCGATCGATTACAGCCCAATCTGAATGCAGGCGACGGCAATTACAGCCAGAGGACAGCCAGAGGTAGGCAGAAAAAGTCCTCGTGTGAGCATATGCCCTCACGGCATGCCGCTCACTTTGTGTCTACCGGCCAGGACGTCGTTGTCGAGATGCCATGGAAGCTCTGGCGGGCATTCGCTTAGAAATCTCAGGAAAGAAGGACTTGGTACTTTGTACCTTCCGCAGTGTTCCAGCACATAGCATGCAGCAAAAAAAAAGAGAAAATTAAAAATTTGCTGCCAAAAAAATCCTGCATGATTTGATTCATTTGAACCTACAATATCACTGTTATGAGCGGTGTTTTTGAACCAATTAAACTATGTAACCCCAGCTTCGCCCTTCCCCCCCGCCCCGGGCCCTTTTTTCGGTGCATCTGTTCGTTTTCAACAGCTTGCAAACTTAGCACTAGACAAGACAAGATAGCACAGAAATATACGGACCGTATATCTGACCAGATGCAGATACTCACTGAGTAAAACATAGGGTTGGATGCAAGCACACTCCCTCCAAACCAGACAGCAAAGCGCTGCATGTGATGTCCAATCACATTCACCTCCACTGCCTCATACTGAGTGAAACACGAAAGAACATCATCATCAACAACAACAACAACAACAACAACAACAACAACAACAACAACAACAACAACAACAACAACAACGATGACGACAACAACAGCAACGAAAAAAAAGAGAAAAGAAAGAAAAGTTAGAAAACAAAAAGCACAACAGGATCAGGATCAGCGAATGGATGATGAAACAGTACAAAACAAGATAAACACCAAAACAACATCTGAGGCTCGATGTAGGGATCCATAAGTACTATTTTGGGACATGTAGATTTACAGTTCTTTTTTTTTTTTTTTGGGTGCATTGTAGATTTACAACTTACTGTAATCATCCCAGAGAAGTTAGATTTCACGTAACGTTTGGAACCGTCAAGGTGTGAAACGAACCTTCAGATCCGTCTCGACTGGACATGTCCAGTGTCCAGTCAGAGTAACAGCTTAATCTGAAATACTAAATAAGTCTAATATTGTAATAAAAGTAGTTTAAAAATTAAAATACTAATCATTATAGTTTACTATTTTGCACCTTCAAAAAGTTTAAACTTTAAGCCCGCCGTCACCAAAGGGGACAAAAAAAGTGGACATTAGTAACAGCTTAAAAAGAAAACACTAAAGTGACTTTTCATTCCATGTCACACATTTGTGGAGGTTGCCTTCAGTGAGATACCAACCTTTGAGAAAGACCTCTTTCGCTCACTTGGCCGCAAAATGCGGCACCGCAGCGACACATCAACAGCACATCAACAGCACATACTCATATGCTACCGTCTTCACCAGAATAGAATGCCCGGTCATTTTGAGTGTATGTGGACTGGAATTTCTGCCAAAATACAGCTCTAATGACCGAGCGTTAGCTGCCGCCGATACATCTCACTCCACTTACAGTGAGAACCTATTCTCAAGACTGCATTTTGAGATCTATCCGACACAATAGAACGCCCGGTTCTACTTCTGACGCAAACTGATGCCGTGAAGCTCCCGACCTGGTACTCAAGACACTGCTGCAGCCTGCAGAGACGTCTTGAGCGGGCGACTTCTGCTCATCGCATTAAACTATGCATTCGAGTCAGTCGAGGACGGAGGAAGGTACCCAGACCATGTCAGTGGATGCTAAATACAAGTTAGTAAACGTTGAAAAGGTTAATAAACAGAAGACCAGTTCGACTCCGGATGGAATCATTTGAACATAATACAGTTCGGGCCACCTGCGTTCAACAAAAAAAAAGGGGGACTGAGGAAGGAAGGCTCTCGGTCGCACCATTTTATTCCTGCAGTCTGATCACGATACCTTATGGGCAGGGTAGCCCCAAATTGCAGTCTAAATTTCTCTAAAAAATAAAAAAATAAAAAGTGAAAAAAGTAATTAAAATTTAAAAAATTAAAAATAAAGTCTAAATTTCTCTAAAAAATAAATAAATAAAAAAGTTAAAAAGTGATTAAAAAAAAAATAAAAACTAAAAAAAATAAAATAAAAATGAACAATTAAAATTTGTAAAAACTAAAAAAACTAAAAAATAAAATAAAAAATTGCAGTCTAAATTGTTTATTCCATCAGGATTCAGGAGTAATCCAGTATGGGACGATCAGAGAAGCACACACCCAGATCCTCAGGTACACTCCAACTGCAACAAGTATTGTGAAAATTTGAAACATCAATTCTGACACCAAGGGAATACAAATCAGCATTACTGCTCTCAGGTCTCCCGTAAACATGCCTCACCTGACTGACCACGTCCGCAGGTACCAGGCCAGCGGGCCAAGCCATGATCGAAAAGAGGCAGAGGTGAGGAAAGAGAGAGAAATGGAAGGAAGAGGCCATAGGATTAGTAGTACTAAGAATAGCAACCACTATTTAAAGGTTTTTTCGTGAATAGGAAGTAGAAAGATAGAATAGAAAGTAGATTAGTAAGAAGCAGGGGCAAGTAGGGTTTAGGGTTTAAGGAAGCAGGGGAGAAATGGATACCCCCGTTAGTCCAGTAGGGTGGTGTTTTCTAGTTGTTAAACCACTAGTACCTTTGCCGCATGGGAAAACCGCGGGCCTCGGGTGCGCCTCCGACCTTTTCGGAGGGCCCCGGAACGAAATGACGGCCGCCGATGAGATTTATCAACAGCATCCGTCGTCGTCCCGGGCCTCCAAACTCTCTGGGAGAAGCCTGTTTGCCCTACTTTCCCAACACTGGTGGAGGGACTACGTAGTGCTTTAAACCACTAGTACCTTTGCTGCTTGAGAAATGAGGGAAAACGCCAGCTCCCGAAGAATTCGGAGGCCGGGCCCGACGACGGCTGCCATTGATAAATCTAATCGGTGGCCGTCATTTCGTTTCGGCCTCCTGAAAGGTCGGAGGCCCGCTGTTTTCCTAACCGACAAAAATGGTAGTGGTTTAAGCCTGGATCCTGGATCCCTAGAGAAACCGTTTTTGGGTCCGCTATTTTCCTAACCGGCAAAGGTACTACCGTCTTCCCCGAAAATAACGCACCATAAAAATGAATGTATACGAGTTATATTTCCGGCCAGATAAAGTCAAAACGAGGGTGCGTTGTGTTTGGGGGAAGACGGTAGTGGTTTAAGCCTGGATCCGTAGAGAAACTGCTTTTGGGTCACATCATAAGCGAAACTGGCTAATGCTGCTATTAATGAAACCCTGGGTTGGATTGTGATGTCCCCGGCCTCCATTTTCAAGCTATTAATGAAATGATTTTTTTCTTGATTTTTTTTTCTTTTTTTTTTTAACACAGTGACAGAGAAGAGGGGGCTCAGTTTTCCTCCCCCTTTTGAAAAGGCAGAGCAGCAAGGTAGAAGTGAGCACTGGAGCAGCACTTGGCTGACTCTGAGGAAGAAGGCAAGGGTGACTGGTTATGGTTGGCAAGGCCAGGGGTCCAAAAAGCAGAAGGTTCTGAGTGAAGACGGACACAGGAAAAAGGCACACGGGCAACAGCTCTTCCCCTGGCAGGTTAGCGAGTGCTGGGGGAATCCCACAGTCACCGGCGGGAGTTCGGGGCTGGAGGTGGAGGACTGGAATATGCTGATGCAACATAGCATGTTTGTTTTTCTTTGTTCTCTTTTAGCAAAAGAGCGTCGGCCTTCAGTAGGAAGTACAAGCTTTTATTCAATGAATGGACTGAGGTCGACTCCTCGAGCGATCCCCTTTCACTCAATGCAGGACTTCCCAAATCCCCCACAGAAATTGACAGAATGCGTTTGTCCCCATATCATGGTTTGGTCTTGATGAGCTCCACTTTTGAGATGCTAAAAAATCTCAGCTTATCCATCCAAAGATACAACTGGTTTTTTCTCAAGGTTTCCCAGGAGGAGTAGCAAATAGACCTAGGTCTGTAAGATCACATCTGGCGCCCAGTTCTGGGCAAAGAGGCTCATGTTCGGATTTTCTCAGCAAGCTTCTTTATTGTGAAAGGGACGCTGGACCCGTTTTCCAGCAGGTGCAGCTCCCCACCAATAGATGGAGTGACCCAGGTAGACCATAGTAGGGAGGGCTGCTCGTACCACCCTGCCTACTATGATCTACAGAGCATACACGCGGCGCATCGGCCTGCGCTGCAGCGCGCACACGCGCCGCAACGCACAGCGCACACAATGCGCGCGCATGCCATGCAGCGCACAGGCAAATCGAGGGGTCCAAAAAATGAAACGAAAGTTGGGGGGGGGGGGGGTGTATGCCCGGTAGGGACTTCGCGCCGTCGGCTACAAAAAAAAATGAAAATTTTTTGAGGCCGCGAATGCCCCCGCAAAAAAAAAGGAGCGGGGAGATCCAAGCAGTTCATTTTTTGAACTGCTCGGACCTGCCGCACGCCTTGGTGCCCCGGCACTACGCAGTCCTTCACGGCCGCCGTGTCTCATCATCGGCGTCGTCGGCATCTCGTAGCCCTCTTCTCGTGTGCACTGCAGCAGGAAGCAGCCCCCCACTTCGTCGTTCAGCCATATCCCGCGCAGCTCGAACAGCAGCACGAAGGAACCAAGGGTCGCAGCACTGTGAGGACGCGAAGGAAGCAGCGGCCATATCCAGGAGGGTTACCGCCAGCCCTTCTCTCTCTCTCTGTGGAAACTGTGCACCTCCTCCCCGTTTCTCCCTTGCCATCGTTCTTCTCCACCACCCCCCTCCTCCCTCCTTCATCAAGTTCTCTTCCTCCTTCGTCCCTTGTCATCGATCTCCTCCTCCATCTGCCGTTGTTGTCCTCCCCTTCCCTCCCTTCGTCCTTCCTCCCTCGTCATCGATCTCCTCCTCCATCTGCCGTTGTTGTCCTCCCCTTCCCTCCATCATCAGTGTTGTCCTCCCTCCGCCCTTCTCACTTCCCCCTCCTCCCTCGTTATCGATCTACTCCTCCCTCCTCCATTCCCTCCCTCATCATCGATCTCCTCCTCCCTCCGTCATTGTACTCCCCTTCCCTCCATCATCAGGGTCGTCCTCCCTCCGCCCTTCTCCCTTCCCGCTCCTCCCTCAGTATTGAACTCCTCCTCCATCCTCCATTCCCTCCCATCCTTGAAAAGCAAAAGGATACATGGCGTGTAGTCGTTGAGGGGTATCTTGAAGAAACTTCCCTGCTGTTATCGATCTCCTCCTCCCTCCTCCATTCCCTCCCTTGTCATCGATCTCCTCCTCCCTCCGTCGCTGTCGTCCCCCTCCCTCCTTCATCATGTCGTCCTCCCTTTTTTTTTTTTTTTTCATATATGAAAATTTTAATAGTGCACCACTGCTCCCCTTCCCTCCTCCCTTCGTTGTTCTCCCCCTCCCTCCTTCATCATCGGCGTCGCCCTCGCCCTCCCTCCACACTTCTCCCTTTCCCCTCCTCCCTCGCTATCAATCTCCTCCTCCCTCGTCATTGATCTCCTCCTCCCTTCGTCGTTGTCCTCATCGGTGTCGTCCTCCCTCCGCCCTTCTCCCTTCTCCCTCCTCCCTCCTCCGTCGATATCGATCTCCTCCTCCCTCCACCATTCCCTCCCTCGTCACCGATCTCATCCTCCCTCCGTCGTTGTCCTCCCCTTCCCTCCATGTCCGAGCGCGCCCAGCACGCGCACGCCCCGGCGCACTGGCGCACTGCGCATCCAAGTGCCGCGCAGAGCATCGCGCACTGCGCATTGATGCACGCGCATCGCGCGTCAATGCGCGCACTCCCGACGGGCGCACGGTGCGCTGCACCGATGCGCCGCAAGTATGCTACAGAGTCTTTATTTAAAAAAAAAAAAGAAAAAAAAGAGAAGATTAGCATGGCCCCTGCACAAGGATGACACCCATATATATACCGGTGCCATCCTTTCGCAGGGGCCTTGCATATATGGGTACAGCTCATTATTCAACTCCAATTGCAACTATGCATCGTATCGGATTTCACACAGAGCACTCAGACAAGGCAGTGAGATGGGTGGCAATTAGCCGAAAACCGAAATGATTATTCCCAAACACAACAAATTTATCCAAGTTCGAAGCTCATTGGAATGATCTCAACAGTCCAAGGGGGGCCTGCGCCGAAGTCTTGTTCCTCTGACACACTTGGCAACCCTGTATATCGGTAATGCGGTCATGTTTCATACCAGGCCAAGTATATGATCTGAGCAGGATCGCGTATGTCTTTCTCCAACCAAAGTGTCCTTCGGTGTCATGACATTCCCCTAGGATCAGATCTCGTCATCAACCGGGATACAGAGCCTATCATGGATGTTAGTCCTTTCAAACAACAATCCATCGACCATCCTATAGTCGGGTATCTCGTGGGGTGCGATTTGCACTTTCCTAATCATCTCTCGATATATAGGGTCTTTTCAGTAAGCATTTTCGATCTTTTGCTCCACATAAGCTCCAATGCCAAGGTAAGTCACTATGGCCCCGAAGAAGTCCGCTTGTCTACTAAGGGCATCGCCTGCTACGTTGTACTTGACCTTTGACAGGCTTCAGCTTGAAATCAAACCTATCAATCTTGGTGGCCACCTAGTTAACTTAGGAGTCATGCGGGCCTGGGTCTTCAACCATTTCAAGGTCTCATGATCTGCCTTGTTGTGGGGCGGACAGACCGGATCTACCTTGAGGGGAACCATGACCCCTACCACCCGTAGAGCAGCCTTGATTGCTGCACTCCCCTCGTCAGCCCTGTCCTCTTCCTTCCCTACCGCGGCCACCTCGACCTCGGCCCCCACCTCCTCCACGTCCTCCCTCACGGACTACAGCAGCATAGCTACCTCCCTAAACTACACTGCTGTCCACGTCTAGGCCTTACTCTATCTCGTCGTAGCCAAGGGCCTCGCGACCTCCTTCCTCGAAAGTAACTACAACGTTGTCCTCGCCCGTAATTTTACCAGAAATGGTATTGCCTTTCCAGACAGTGTTTCCCCTTTTCGAAACCCTTGTACCGGTACCGGTTAGCCTCCTGTAAGATACCCGCCTGTTCTTTTTTTTTTTTTTTTAACCGACCTGTTCTACCGATAGCTCACTAAAAATTTGTCCTAGGTCATACCTGGCTTCTGGACTCTTCAGGCCCACAGGTAGACTCCGCCTTCTAGACCTTTCTTGACATGGGCCTACGACTTCCGAAACTGGAGCCTGCCGACTTCTCACGGAACTGGACCTCGAAATTTGACTGGAAGCTTCTGGACTGGGCCCCTGGCCCTCAAGTATTTTAGCATCTTTCCTGTGAGGGTCGCGTGGCCCTCAACTCTTCGAATTTGGCCTGGACCTAAGGGCTCAAGATTTTCTGAGGCCCGACAGGGCCTGGCTAGTAGTTATGTGAATCCTTTCCCTCCCGCCGGCCTAATTTCGAGGTCCTCCGAGAACACATCCTCACCGATCATACACAGCCTGCCCTCGTCTCGCCCTCTCATAATAGGACACAATGTCAGGGGCTGTTTCAAAACTAGCTCTTGTCTTGTAAACCAGCGATCCTTGCTGGGACCTTGGTAGGCAAATCGAACCTTGTATTGCCTCATAGGTCTCCCTCTACCGCCCGTCTTAAAGACATCTTCGGCCACAATTATATCAACATCATAGCGACCATCCATATCAGGCGGGATCAGTGATCTACGGGAAGGGAAATCCTGAGTAGTCATACAAGGTAATAACTTTGATGCGTGGAACACAGGGTAAGTATACAGGTGGGGTGGAATCTCTACCGTATATGATGGCCCACCTGCGTTGCCCTTGATGTCTAAAATCTGCCATGGTCCTCTATATGCAGACAGTAGTTTCTGCGATATCCCTTCTTCAGGCACAAAATCTTTAGACTTCACCCAAGCAAGATCGCCTACTGCGAATTGTGCAGGGCGCTGGTGCTTGTTAGCTTGTTCGATCATCTGGAATTGTGCCTTTCGGATGTTCTCTGCAACCCATTGTAAGTCTTTCTCATACTGGATTGCAAATTCATGCGTACCGGGAGGAAGTCTCTGAATTCGATCGGGTTGCAGGTAGTCTATGGGACGTCGACGTGTCCACCCTCCATGCAACTCATTGGGTGTCCTAGATGTAGTTAAGCGGACACAGTTTTTATTGGCTAGGTGCTCGTCCCAGTCTACCTTAGTAGCTAGGTGCTCATCCCACTCTACCTGATCAGCGCGGATATACATTCTCAATACCTGCTGTAGAAGCTTGTTCATCTGTTCAGTAAGACCATTGCCTATTCCCTTAGCCCCTGGAGAGTCGGTATCTATAGACTTTATAGATACTAAAGCTATGAAGTAGGAACGGAAAGAGTCGAGTCATGGTGATAGTCGATAGTCAATTTGCTGTGTTTGTAGTAACTTTTGTACCCTTACCTGCAGAAGCCAAGACTGATCTGGTCGTTAAGGCGTTCTTTAACCACTGGGTAAAAGACTTCGGTCACCCCTTGTCTATAGTTAGTGATAGAGACAGTAGATTTACTTACGGGGAACAATGGCAACAATTGATGAAAGTATATGGCTCAAAACTAGCCATGTCATCCAATAGAGAACCTGAGACCAATGGTCAGACTGAACAGATGAACACACTTCTACAGCAGGTATTGAGAATGTATATATCCGCCCAGGTCAGGTAGACTGGGACGAGCACCTAGCTACTAAGGTAGCCAGTGCTTACAATAACTCTGTCCTAGTGTGAGTATGTCCTCAGTCTGTCATGCTGACTGCAAGCCTCCCAAACTTGGCCAAAACTCTCCGCGTGCAAATTTGATTTTTGAAGTTTGATGTCGTTCTCAGACTACTACTTCTACGATGTTAAAGCTTACCTCAGAGCACTGAAAAGGTCATGCAGCAATACATCCAAAGGGGACGGCGACCTTTGAAAACACGTACGTACCTTGACTTTTTCTTGTGCGCCAGACCTCGCAATAGATCCAGTCACCCGCTGTTCAACAAGCTTCTTAATGTCCCTTTGGAGTCTTCTTTGGAAGTCCTTAAACATCGTTGAACCGCCCGACAGCACTATGTTCTGCAAAAGAACATGCACACGCACCACATGCAGGCATGCGCACACACGTGCGTATGAGAGAGAGTGTGTGTGTGTGTGTGTGTGTGTGTGTGAGAGAGAGAGAGAGAGAGAGAGAGAGAGAGAGAGAGAGAGAGAGAGAGAGAGAGAGAGAGTTCCCGCTCCACAGACATCTTCCACAAACATCAGGGTCACATTGAAATTCGTTACCAAATTTGAAATATATATATCTTCAAACAGAGCTGCCCGGTATAGCGTAGGCAGAGAGGGAGGGAGAAGAGGACAACAAACAAGGGGCTGTGACAAACTGTTTCGTTGGAGTTTCGTCGACCAACTCATCAGGAGGCTGAACCCTCAACTCTCTCTCTCTCTCTCTCTCTCTAGTCAAACAGAGCTGCCCGGTAAGCCGTAGGCAGAGAGGGAGAAGAGGAGAACAAACGAGGGGCTGGGACACACTGTTTCGTCGGAGTTTCACCGACTCATCAGGAGGAGGCTGAACCCTCAAACAGTCTGCAGAATCCCCTAACTGATTACACTGTAGGTGATAATCCACCTTAACCCCGGCCATGGTTATGCATCAACGACTGCCCGGCAACTGATACCTGAGGTGATGGGGACCACCGACCACTGCCCTCAAGGTACTTGTGACGAAAATCAAAGCAGACTTTCACTCACCCACGCCAGATGGAAAACTGTACAGACTGTCAGTTCACACCCCATCACAAGCCAGCAAAACACCCACAAACGAAAGAAAGGTCTGTCACAGCCAAAAAATACACTCCAGACACGCCACTGGCACTAGAGGCACAGCATGGCCGCGTAGTGACGGGCCCGACCACTGCCGCTCGACCTGACCGGAGAAAACCATAGCAGGGTGCTAGCGAAGTCGTGGTATATGTCGTCAAACAGAGCTGCCCGGTAAACCGTAGGCAGCCCCGGGTCACTCTGGTAGCCTAGGGCAAAAAGTTTTATTATCGGGGCCCAGTGCCCAAGGGCCAAGGAAATACATGCACAAAGCGACATATAGAGATTCTCGTGTAAGCTGCCTCAGGCAAAAGGAACAGTAAAAACGATAATACCATCATAATTTCAGTAGGCTACCACTGTCCTGTGGGACATCCATTAAAACTGGAACGATACCGAGAAGATGAGTATGACCCCGCCGCAAGGATGACACACATAAATCAAGAAATGGTCCCCGCCCCCCCAAAAAAAAACAGAGTGGCCCAGGACCACTTGCCCAGCCGGGCCATTAAAAAAAAAATAAAAAAAATAAAATAATAATAATAATAATAATAATAATAATTCAATTTTTTATGTTAAATTTGGTAAAGAATTTTGCTGTGACCCCGAGGCAAAAGTTGTTCGGCTCATTTTTCTGCATAACTTTTTTTTTTTTTTTAAGGAGTTTTTGGGATTCTTTTTTTCTTTTTTTTCTTTTTTCTTTTCTTCCCTGGGACCTTCCCTTGTCCTTGCACGGCCAGACCGCCCGGGCAAACAAGGGGACACGGGAGGCCCGGCTGGTAGCCCAGGTAATAAATGAATAACTATTAATTAGTAATTACATTTCTACTTCCACAATAGAAATTTGATTCATTATCAATTTATCACCCAACTTTCCCACCCACACAAAGAAGGATGCTCACTGGATGCTTCTGGTTTGTTAGCTGGCCCAACTACCCGCACAAATTCAGGAGGGGGCCCATATAACTGACATTTCGTTAAAACTAACATTTGTTTCTAAATTCAGGAAATCGAGCGTACGAAAAAAAGTTAAAAAACAGTATTTTTTAGCGTTTTTTCTTGTCCCCATGATGTTGGACTATCTGATGGTCGGGCGTCGTGACGAAGCCCAACGATTGGACACTCCGATGTATTTTGACGGTACTTTACATTGAGATACATCAGATGGTCAAAGTGAGATAACTACTTTCTCACCCAATGAGCAATGAAATTTCGACTAAGTCCACTTTCGTGAATTTAGAAAAAAATGTCAGTTTCTACGAAATGTCAGTTATATCAGTTCTCCCTGAAGCCCTTAATAGGGGCACGAATCCACAAATTCATCAACCCTCTTCATCCGAGTGCAACGCCCGGTGATTATTGCTCTCTCTAGAGTGAACCTTGCACCAAATACAGCTATAATGACCGGGTGTTCTATTCGAGTGAAGACAGTATCTAAAAACAATCACATATCAAAATGAATAATAATAACCTTCAATAAAGCAACAACTTGAACAACGTAACAACGAGTGGTGATGAGAATGCCACCAAGGAGGACAACACCGATCCTGCTGCAGCTGCTGGTGATGGTGATGATGATGATGATGGTGATGGTGATGATGATGATGATGATGGTGGTGGTGGTGGTGATAGCTGACCTTGTAGAGGGAGCGTCGTGTGTCAATTGGACTGGAACAAATGCAATCATCTACCACTCGAGGGAGGGGGGTGGTGAACTCGCTGCTGTAAATTTCCGGCGAAAAAAAAACCTGGTCATGCAAGCCACGTCATCAGGCAAAAAAACAAAGTAAAGTTAGCAAACTCTTAAGATAGCAAGATTTTCACCCCTAATACAACAAGTTTGTGAGGATACCCTGTTGCGGGGGGGGAGGGGGAGGGGGGGTTGAGACGAGATGTGTGTAGGGGTATATTCGTAAATAGAGCTCAAGAGTCTCAAGTGCAAAATAACTGCAAGTTGCAGGTACACATACCCATCCATGAATTGAGTGCCAACTCGCCACATGACTGAGCTACGACCTCGTTCACGAAAGAATGATAGGAGCGGGAACTCTGGCAATGACGCGTAATCAAGCCACCACCAACATTTCCGTCTTTGAACAAGAGCAGCGGCTGTAAAGGGACGTTGGACCCGTTTTCCAGCAGATGCCGCTCCCCACCAATAGACTGGAGCATCCGGGATTCTCGCTAGGGGGAAGGGTGATCTTATCACCTCTCCTAGCGAGGAGACCGGTTTTCAAAAACAAAAACAGTCCTTCGGGACATCCGTTAAAATTGGAACAATACAGAGAAGATTAGCATGGCCCCTGCGCAAGGATGACACGCATAAATCGAGAAATGGTCCATAAAAAAAAAAACAAAAAAAAGACCGTACAGCATGCCAAAGACGGACAAACCACCACCAACATTTCTGTTGAGTCCTTTCAGCCAACAAAAGAAACACACAAAACATGGTTCACCGAGCAATGTTCGCTCTGCAATTCATGGCAGCCCAGTAGCAGGTTCTCCACAGAGCTGCTTTGTGCGACCATTGTGATCTGTCATAAGTTAACAATAACTTTAATATAAGTTAATAGTACAAGTAACAATAACTACGTTTTCTTCACCGCGGTTTTTCCCCGAACATAACGCATACATGTTGTAAACTTGTAAACGAATACAACGTGCAGGGTGCTTTCTATTCGAATACAACACATACGAGTTCCATTTGAGCAGCCCTACTTTTTGAAGACAACGCATACGCACACTCTATTCATTTTTTTTGAATTTATTGAAAAAAGTTAAAAAAACACGAATAGAACACAGATGCATTATGATCGGGGGGAAGACGGGTAGATGTCTTCTCTCTGGCATGTTTGATCGGGTGGCGGCCAGTAGGTCGGATTTTTTCTACACCGTCAATTCTTTTTTTTTCCTTTTTCTTATTTTTTATAAACAGGTCCTTAATAGTCCGGCCTGGCTCCTCGTGCATTCTGGGGATCATCAGTCCAGTTCATATGCAAGGAAGATGAGCATTAGCGAACTCCAGCAATCAAACAGCATCATACATATGAGTCCAGATAGTCTTGACCTCGAACCAACAGCAGAAATGCATCACGAGATTCACCAAATAAGAACACACCAATAGTTCGTAATTGACAATGCTGAAATAGTCTCTCATCATCATCAACGAAGAACAAGAGTTGATATCCTATTGGCGCTCGGCGCCCAGACTACATGTGGCAGATCCTATCTAGCCTAATTCTACAATGCCGATGTTGACAACAACAGCTTCCTGAAGTACGAGCACCAGGTATGTCTCTCGCAACACTCACAACCCCGATCCACACCACACAGATGCCACTAGCACCCAAGGACCACCCTGTGCTACACCCAGCTCACAGCGGAGCAGCTCGGCTATGGCTGCCCGCTCCTTCCTGCTCGCCCGTGAGAGCGTGAGTGCCAGCCAGCCAGCAAATAGCGCAGCAGCGCTCACACAGCATGCAGCCAGCACCCGAATGCCGAATGAGGAGGCAGCCCCTTCCCTATATCGAAGTGGCCTGCCTGCGTCCAGTCCAGGAAGCTTCCATTAGGCCCCGGTAGGCACAGGCCCAGACCTCACACGCAGGCCCAGGGCCTGATGGTTGCATGTGCCCAACTGCCCTTGGCCTGCTCACGGCATTTCCCACGCGTCTGGCCCAGGTCACCATTCAGATACATTTGCAAAATATGGCCTGGGCCTGGGCGCCTTCAACCAACTGGCGCAGCGCAACTGTCTGAATTTCACCAGTTGCGGGGTACCCTGAAAATCGAGGCCCTGAGGGCCTGTCGCGCCTGCCTTCACTTAGGGCGGCCGACATGCTGCAAAAAGGGCCCTGAAGGGGCTGAGCGGGCGTAGCCTCGCACCTATTCCACCGGCAAGTCAAAAAAATATATATTAATAATATTATATATATTATATACTATAACACCCCGAACGCTTCCATCCGCAGTTCGAGACCGAGGATTCTATGCTTGACAGTGACACACCAAGCACAACAAGAACATGGGGCTCGCTCCACCGCTCACCAAATGCACAAATGAGTTGAAAATTTGAAATGAAAAAAAAAAAAAAAAAAGAGCGTGTATCTTTCAATCTTATAGCGGCAGGTTCATTCTCATTTTGCGCATTTTGAGTGGTGAGGCTAAGGTAGGCCCCATGTGTGATGTAGACGTGTGTCAGCAGAACACAACCCTTTTTCCCACCCAGATGCATAGATCCAAAATTGAAACAGTAACACTTTGATACACGTAAGGCAAAAGAACGTAACGTTTCGGTGCAATGGACATTTCATTTTTTTGAAATTTGAATAGCGCCGGGCCTACACACCACGTCTGTCTGTGTACCTAAGCATGGGATTCATGCACACCCGTTTGCCTTTCGGCACACAGGCACCTTATTTTTTGCCCGTCATATTAGTGATCCTCGTTTGTGGTTCCACACAGGGGGGTTGGAGGGGGGGGAGGGGGGGGAGGAGGGGAAGGGGAGCGAAGGAGGGGGGGAAGAGGAGGAGGACAGTGGAGGAAGGAGAAGAGCAGGGTACAGAGGCACCTCATTGGGTCCTCAATAATCACCGGCAGAGCACAATGCTAGACCCTGCCGCAGGAGGCCAGTCAGCAGTCGGGTAGCAGAGGGAAATGACCTGAGGAACAGGCCATACATTGCCTATGGTAAGTGGCCACCCCCGCAGGCCGGACAACAACAGTCTGGTCGTGGCCTCTGTGTATGTGTGCACATCGTCCACAGAGAGAGAGAGAGAGAGAGAGAGAGAGAGAGAGAGAGAGAGAGAGAGAGAGAGAGAGAGAGAGAGAGAGAGAGAGAGAAGGGGGGGCAAGGAGG